AGTTCATGAACCTGATATATGTCCCCTTGTAATATATAATCTAATTTGTATGATTTGATTTGTCGTAAGCGATGTTTTCAACCACTCATAGGTCATAACCAGTAGACCAAAAACTTTGACCTCCAATGGAATAAAGACATCGTGTGGATTATTTATTAACGTTCACGAAAGACAATATAATTATTGTGGACTGGATGTCTTATTGAATGCACTTTGAATTTGGGCAGCTGAATGTGATTTTCTTCTACTAGTCTGTAAATTAAACGATCGAACGTTAGTTAGTTCGTTTATTCATATTTATTTTTGAATTATAGAGTCAACATTTGCAAAAAAAAGAATTTGCACACAAAAAAAGAATTATAGAGTCAACAACGTTTCTAGTCCTGGTGATGTCTGTTAACTAAATGATATAAAATACTAGAAGAGATCCGTGCATTTGTTATATTTTGATGTTATATAATAATAATATTTATATTATAATTTGTTTGTTTAATAATAATAGGTAAACAGATTAAAAATTTAATTATTAATTAAAAAGATTGAAAAATATTATATTATTTATCTTGATAATAAGAATATGTTGTTCTGTAATATAACCATTCAGAAATATGTTTATGGTAAAATTTATGACCATAAAATAAAATATTGATATTTTTTAGTCTTTCTAGATTATCAAGATATATAGTAGAGTTGCCATCTTTTTCTTTTGTAGTTTTTGTTTGTGTAGTTGATTTTTTATTCTTTACAGAACGAACCCGTAATTTGAAGATAAAGTTTATGATCGGTTGATGGGATAAGAAGAATTCTCATGAAATATATTTTTTATTGGATTTATGATAGAACTAAAATGTTGATTTGTTAATAGAATGGTCATCTATGGTGTTTGCTATTTGTAGCTTATTAATTTTTTTTCATATATAGTATTCAAGTGTTTTAATTATTTTAGTTAAGTATAGTTAGAATATTTTTGTTAATGTTTTATTCTCTATTTGTTATTTGTGGTGTGGTAAGATAATATAATCTTTTAGTTAATTATGTCAGTTTTTTGTATGTCTTTAATTATCGGTTTTTGAATTTGGTTTTTAATGTCCATATTACTGATCCATCATTAATTGTTGTTGATTTTTTGCTTAATTATATTTGACCACCAATTAAATAATTAGTAATTATTATATTATCTAGTCTGTTTTTTTAAAAGCGTATGTTTTTTTGCCACCAAATTTAAATCAGAATTAAGTATTTTGATTGTTAGGAAAAGAGGTATGCAATTAATTTGTTTGTTTGTCGGTTTTTTTCTTTTTCAGATTATATTGATCATATTATGAGTGAAATATTACATGTTGGATTTATGTAGAAACTGCAATCTTTGGTTTATTTGAATAATAATAGTTAAAAAATTTCAAAAACCTTAGAAACAATGGCAATTCAAAAATTGTCATTATACCTTGGAAAAGAGTAATGACATTGCAAACAATTTTGAACAAAAAAAATCTAAATTATTTATAAATCAAAATAGCTTGCAAAAATCTGATATTTAATTAAATATTCTAAAAATAGAATTAATAAAATATTAACATATAACAAATTGATTAATTATTAGATAAAATAGTGTTTAGCTATATGAGTAGTTGTTGTGAGTATTAGTTGTTTTTGTTTATTTTTAATATTATATTTGTTATTTGTTATGAGATAAGATGATATTGTATATTGATATTTTAATTTTTCAATTTTATAATTTGCTTTTAAAATTTTTATTATTGAATTTTAATTTATTATTCTGATTGTTTGTGTTTATTATAATTGACCATGAATTTAATATTCAGTAATTATTGTATTATGATTTCTGTTTTTGGAGTAGTATTATTATATATATTTGCTGTTAAATATAAATTTGAGTAGAGTATTTTGATTGCAAGGAGATGAAAAAATAAAATTATTTTGTTTGTTTGTTGGTCATTTGTTTCTTAAGATTATGTTTATGCACTAAAAAAACATTTCTATAACACATGTTTTTATATTATTTTATGTTTTAATTATTATTTAAATTTCTAATTTTTGGATCATGTTATTAAACATTGAATATAAGTAAAAAAAAATGAGACACCATTTATAAGTATTATTAAATTCAAAAATAAAGAATGAGAAAAAACTTTATAAGTTTTTTTGTTTTATTATAATAACAGTTTGTTACTTTTTTAGTGACAAACTACTTTTAAATTTTTTAGTTTTACACAAATTGTAAAATAAAGAAATAATTAAATAGAAATAAAACATGTCAATTTGTTGAGCGTCACATGACAGCATTTTAATGCTCATTCTAAAAAACAACAAAAAATAGTAGAATATATATATATATATATATTAGTCATAAATTATTGATATCATAATTTTTTCTTTATTATATCATATTTTTTAGTTTTTCAAATAAAACTATATTTGTAACAGTGAAACTTAAATTATTTAAATAGTAAAAGAACTTTTTTAACAGAAAAACTTAAACTATTTTGTAATGAATAGTAAAAATATTTAGAAAATGACACATGACAAACTTTTGGAATGCCACATGACAACATATCAAAACTTATTCTGAAAAAAAACTTTAATATATTAGAATAGATAAGCACAATCGCAAATTTGAGTGTTAAACTGAATTAAATCTTCTGTTAGTGTATCTTTTTAAAACCCCATATAGAGTTATGCATATGTCTAAAAATAGTTACATAGAGTAGTTGTATTCATTTTCTAAATTTTCTCTATCACTAATTTCACATCAACGTTTTGAAATTTTAATTTTTTTAGCTTTTTAGTAAAAAAAATGAAATCAGAATTTTATTTTTGATATCTAAACATAATCATATTAACAATTACTAAAATTTTAAATTACAATATTAAATATATTAAATTGAACATGACAAATCATCAATTCAAAATAAATAATTAATATCAAAGTACAAAATTTAGCATGATTTATTCCAGTGATATGGTAAATCGTTTTTAGGAAATTTCACATTTTGTCTTTAATTTATATATAGTGATATAGTAAAAATATATAGTACAAGCTTTAATTTTTATTCGAAATTATAAATTCCCCGTGTTTAATATAAAAAAGTAATATTCGAACGAAATGATGAGAATGTTTTGATTGTTTCAAATGCAAACTTACATTATTCATAATCACGAGTACTAAAATTTAGACAATTATAAAAATATATATCACGCACATGAATGGATTTTGGAGTGCTTGCCCAAGAGAAAAGTAGGTAGCAGTAGCAGCCACGACCGGAGTCTTTGTTCTCACCCTGGTCAACGTTTTTAAGAAGATAGGGAGAGAGTGAGACACTTTGCTATTCAACAATTAATTGTGTATTGTACTATTATTACCCTCATTGCAACTATCAATTAAACTAATAACATTTTATATTATATATATAAACTTGCGATGGCTTATGGTTGTCATGATTTCTTTAAGTTAGAAAGTATGGTTTAATAAAGCGAAAAGAATGGTATTATAGACGATCGTCTCAAACTATTTGAAACAAATTTTGATGAAACATAGATGTGATGTGCTGAGAGCCGACTCTGAAATTTAGAAAATGGTAAATACCACAATCTATAAAAGAAATAGGTTGTTTTCTAAAATATTTTTTTTAAAATCGATCATTTTTCTTATAATTTTTTAATGTAAAACCATAAGCTGTTTAGGCTCAAAACTGATTTTAAATGTGCTTGAAACTATTGAGGGTTTCAATTCATATATTTATTCAAAATAATTTATTTATTTATTGATCAAATCGTGTTCAAATGCTTTATTTTTTTTTGGGGGTAAAATGTAAAATTTTATATCATTTTAGATTTGAGACAGAATACATAGATAACTAAGAAAAGCAGAAATGCCAAAATCTAAAACAAAGGCATATCTTCAAACAGAAATTAAAAGAAAAACAAAAACAACAAGCTAGATCTCCACATAGCAGCCACGAAATGCTCCAGTTGAACATACTTAAAGACCCAATTTGTATAATATATTCTTTGCTTTCTTCAAATTGTGTTTGATCGGGAATATTTCGATAATTTAACTCCCATATATATAGTTAGTTATTTGACATTATATATACTTTAATCATGAAACATCAAATCAAAGTATTTTGTTGATTCGCCCGAACTGTGGAGGAAATTAAAGATAAATTGACTCATGAAAAAGTGGCAAAGCAAGAATATTATTAAACAAGCCACCATTTATGTTTGGTAGTTTATATTCCCATGCAAATATGCAGATTAAATTTTGTCAAATTCGGAAATTTAATAACTCAAAAGAATTCATTAAAGACTTTATTGATTATTTGATAAAATTATCTTGCATGAACTTCTTTCAGATCATGATTATGAATGTATGTATGTATGTATGTATATATATTTATGGTTTTACCACAAAAAAATTATTATATATGTTGTATATAAATCTCATCGTGTATTATATACCTACGTTATATAAAAATTTGGGGAATTGCCCAATTGGTATTATCAATATGCTTCGATGAAGAAACAAAAATCACCTTAAACCAATGGGTAGTTAAACATACTTAATCTAATATAATTTTAGGATGAGTAATCTACTTAAATAGTTTTAAATCAACATAAAAATTTAGAAAATGAATACATATATATATATATATAAATTTAACAAAAAAAAAAAATATATAGATGATGAACTTTTCAACATCAGCATATTGAATTTGAAGATGACTACAAGTCTACGCGTGATAGTAATAATTTCCTTTTCAACAGCTATTCATTAGATGTGGTGGACTCAAGTAGTGAAATAGACTCCTTAGAATTTTCTTATATGTTTTGACCAAAAAAAAAAGAATTTTCTTATATGTAAACCATTCTAAATAACAATATCTGAGAAAGTTAGAAAAAAGAAAAGAAACCAATTGAATTGTATAAATGGAGACCCAAAAGGAAAATGCCAAATGAATCAATCTCATAAAGAAAAAAGAGGGGTAGGGGTCCATTATAGATGTGCTCACATACATGCTCCACGAACTTCTGTTTCTTTTACTTTATTTCAATTCTTTTTTTTTTTATCTATTTGAATGAATCATTTATACATCTTATCGATGTCTATCACATATATATTTCTTACATTTTTCATTTATATTTAAATGAAATCCAATCTATTTCCCTCATTTGCGCCTATAAATAGCATCCCTCTCTCATTCCCTCAAGTACGCTAACATCAAAGCAATCAACAACAACACACACAACTTGCTACTTCAAACAAATACTTTCAAAGAAGAGAGAGAGATAGAGAGAGAGACAAAGAGAGATGGAGCAGAACATTAAGTTTCCAGTTGTAGACTTGTCCCAGCTCAACGGTGAAGAGAGAGACCAAACCATGGCTTTAATCAACGAAGCTTGTGAGAATTGGGGCTTCTTTGAGGTACAATTATATACAAGTGTTTTTCATATATATATATGTGATTATAACTAGCTTTTTTTAAGATTATGTACATGATGGTAATATATTGATTTTTTTTTTGTTTGGTGTTAATTTAATTTTATCAGTTAGTGAACCATGGGTTACCACATGATTTAATGGACAAAGTCGAGAAAATGACAAAGGAACATTACAAGAAATCAATGGAACAAAAGTTCAACGACATGCTCAAGTCCAAAGGTTTGGAGAAACTTGATACAGAAGTTGAAGATGTCGATTGGGAAAGCACTTTCTACCTTCGTCATCTCCCTCAATCCAATCTCAATGACATTCCTGATATGTCTGATGAATACAGGTGCATAAATATGTTAATTAATATATACATATATATATATATATAGGATTTATTGTCTTCTGTGGAACAAAATTTAAGTAGCCATCAGTTCAAAATCTCACTCAACCCATAAATATTTTTAGTTTACACCAACAACAATATGGCCATTTTATTTTTTAGAATAAAAAATCGTCTACTCTACCTTTACGGTTAAAGTTTTACCTTAATTAAAAAGGTTTTTGTGATATTTAATTGGTAAAAAACAAATATTTTCTTTGTTAGTTGGTGATTTTTTTTTTTTTTAATAGAAATATTCAGTTGAAGTACTAAAATGTTTTGATTTTTGTAGGACGACAATGAAAGACTTTGCGAAGAGATTGGAGAATCTTGCAGAGGATCTGTTGGATCTATTGTGTGAGAATCTAGGTTTAGAGAAAGGGTATTTGAAGAAAGTGTTTCATGGAACAAAAGGTCCAACCTTTGGGACAAAGGTCAGCAACTATCCATCTTGTCCTAAACCAGAGATGATCAAAGGTCTTAGGGCCCACACTGATGCAGGAGGCCTCATCTTGTTGTTTCAAGACGACAAGGTCAGTGGTCTCCAGCTTCTTAAAGATGATGACTGGGTCGATGTTCCTCCACTCAACTACTCCATCGTCATCAATCTTGGTGACCAACTTGAGGTATGTGTTTATGTTCACACCACATTTTCAAAAAGATCTTTGGTACAAGAAACTAAACTAAACCGAAAAAGACATTTGCATTGTTCAAATGGTTTTGGTTTAACCGGAAGTATCTTCTTGATTTGAGTGTAGGTGATAACCAACGGCAGGTACAAGAGTGTGATGCATCGTGTGGTGACTCAAAAAGAAGGAAACAGAATGTCCATAGCATCGTTCTACAATCCGGGAAGTGATGCTGAGATCTCTCCAGCATCATCGCTTGTCGGTAAAGAAACAGAGTACCCGAGTTTTGTCTTTGATGACTACATGAAGCTCTACGCAGGAGTCAAGTTTCAGCCTAAGGAGCCACGGTTCGAGGCAATGAAGAATGCTTCTGCAGTTACAGGACTGAACCCAACAGCAGCCGTAGAGACTTTCTAAGATACGGAGTTGAGAGTTTGAAGTGAAGCAAAGAAAGAAAGTCATTGGTTCTTGTGTTGTGTGTTTACTTAAAGTTAATAAGTTTAAGACTAAGATTAGTGTTGATATAATTAAGAACTTGGTGATTAATTGTTGGTCAATGGTGTGTTTTAAGTGTGCTGGTGTTTAATTATGTTTACGGAAGATAATAATAATGATAATAATCTGAGAAGTGTTCTAATGTGTTTATCATCAAAATTATCAAGTGAATCCCTCTGTTTCAGAGTTCAACACACAAATGGAGCTAAACATGCTTTTATCATTAAAAAGCAAAAACAAAACAAAGATTAAAAGGTTTGAAACTTTAACAGAGTTTACAAATTTATCAAACAACCGGTCTGGAAAAATAATCACCTTTAAGGTGAAGAAGCTAAACCTGAAAAAATCATTCAAGTGTGAATCCTCAAATCCAGCAAGAACAGAAGTTATACGAATGATTCCATAATCATTCCACACACCTTTGAGGTTCGTTTTCCAATCACACAACCACTCACTCATTATGCGAGGATCGGTTTCAGTTTCATAGCTCATGAGGTTTCAAGGTGCAGCTACCTTTTTCTCACCTCCTTCGTTAGCTGCAGCTTCGTTGGAACAATGGTTCTTAACAACCGTTTCTATGTCAGCTTCAGAAGCACCTGCAAGTTTGAATCTTTCAACAGCTGAGTCGAGATTCTTCTTCCAACCATCGATCCCGATTTTGCATTCCACCTGCGACCTTTCAAACAGCATGTTCCCCCAAAACAAATGGATCTGCGATCTCATTGCAGTCGCTTGTTCCGCTGCTTCCTCGGCTGTGATTGTATCCGAAACCTCTTCGTTCCCATCTCCTCCTTGCTTCTTTCTCCTCTTCGAAACTTCCTCTTTCTTGCTCGAGTTCGGGTCTTTAAGCTCCTCCATCCTCTGTTCTTCAAGCTTCTCCCACATCTTTGTAGCGTCTTTCATCTTCTCCTCTGCGCTGTCAAAGAGCTTCAGGGTCTCTGCTGGATCCCAACCCGAGATATCGATCTTCTGAGCTAGCAAGTAAGACCAGTGTAGCTTCGCCATCTCGAATTGCTGCTGTCCTAACGCAAGCAAGCCCTCGTAGAAATCGGGTTTGATCGTGAGTGCGTGTTCATACTTATCCTTTGCCAATGTGTATCTCTCCTTCACCCACTCGTAAGCGGTTCGAAGCTGTGACGCAACCACTTCTTTTCCTGCGGAATCATCCAAAGGAATCCGCTTTCTTGCAGCACACATGTGAACATTCCCCCAGTTGAAGAAAGCTAAAGCAGCCACTTCTTGGAACTTGGCAGAAGCTTTATCGAACAGAGGCTGAGCTTTTTCGCTTGTGACTGTCTCTTCGAGAGCCTCTGAGCAAAGCTCCATTCCAAGCTCGTGCAAATCGATATGAGCATCAGGGTCAATACCGACATGAGTACGGAAAAGATGAGCAAAATCAAACAACCAATCATCCATCTCCAGTTCTTTGGCCTCGGGATCTTCGGAAGAAACCGCATTCTCCTTCTCCACTTCCTTATCCGGCTTCTCACTGCTGATCTCTGTTGTTTCCGATACTGACTCGCTCGGAGATAATACGGCTTTTTCTTCAACATCCTTCTCTTCCTCATCTTCCTCTACCAACACAGGCTCTTGCTCAGGACTCACATCAACAACATGCAATCTCAACATCCCAACGGAATCAGACTTCTCGGTCTCAGGCTCTTTCGTCAAGAGACTATCAGCGGCAGATTCCGCCAGTTTGAGCTCCGCGGTAGATGTTATCGTCACCAAATCTCCGTCGTTGTCTTTGTACTTTATCAAAACCGCCTTCGAAGACGGGAAACGACTGCTCACAATCTCTCTCAGCTCCTTAAACCTACAATTCACAGGCATTTGACCTAACCTTATGTCATGATCATAAACAAACTTCAACGGCCTCCACTGAACTTTCTTCTCTTGAACTTTCCCAACAACCGCCACAGACGATGAAGAAGAAGACACAACCTTCGGAGCCGCCGCATGAGCCTTACCAACACTCACCGATCCATTTTCAGTTACCGGATTCGTCACCTTTGTACGCTCTACCTTATTGCCATTGTTAGTACTAGGCAATGTAACAGACCCCACAGGCGAAGTAGGTCCCTTTTTGACGACGGGACGAGAAGGCAAACAAGGACCAAGTCCAGCGATCGGACCGCCTAACGCAGCGGAGGCACCAAGAGCTGCAGGCGAAGGCCTGCTCTGCAAATCTTGCTGAGGACCCAAAGCAGCTTTTAGCCGCCGAGAGATCTCTCCCGCATCCTTGTGATTAGGATCAGAGCCTAACAACACACTCACATCCTCAACAGCCAAACCATACTTCCCTACAGCTTCGTAAGCCCGAGCTCTTCTAAGCAAAGCTCGAGAAAAACCAGGCTGGACTTTGAGAGCCGATGTACACTCAGAGATCACCGATTCGTAATCGATAGGCTTCATCTGCATCAAACAAGCAGCTCGGTTGCTGTGAAACAGGGCTCGATCTGGGTGGTTCTTGGGAAGTAGCTTAATCCCGTTCTCGTATTGCTCAAGAGCGCCGACGTAATCTCTTCCCTGAAACTTTTTATTGCCTTCTTCCTTGAGCTCGTGTGCTCTTTTCCAGAATACCGAAGCATCGAAGTCAACACCGCCATTAACACTCGTCGGCTTGGATAATCCCGAAGCTTCAGATGAATTGACCTGACTCGAATTCGAATTCGAGGCGTTACCACCACCACTACCCTTTTTCTTCCTTCCTCCAGATTTCCCCATATCAAATCTCCCCAGTAAAAACACAGACCCACTTGATTATTCCACAAACTACGCGAAATCCAAAATTCCGATCGAGAAATCTAATACCAATTCGATGGATTGACAGAAAGAGAGAGAATTTGATAAACCCAGATACTTACAGGAAGATATCAGATTGAAAATGGAGAAAAAATTCTTCGGAGGAACGAACAGGAAATGCTCAGATTCAGGTGACTACTGGAAGAGAAGAAGATGAGGGTTTTAGAAAGTAGAGAAACTACAGAAAGAAACCCTCTTTCTCAGTGAGAAGATAAAAGATGATGGGCCTACGAATTTCAAAGCCCATTAAATAAATAGTAATATTTTTGTAAGCCTGTTCTTACAATGGGCTAAATAGAAAATTTGTTAGGATGGTTTTTTTGTATAATTCACACTTTAATATTGCTCAGATTCAGGTGACTACTGTAAGAGATGAAGAGGGTTTTAGAAAGTAGAGAAACTACAGAAAGAAACCCTCCTTCTCAGTGAGAAGATAAAAGATGATGGGCCTACAAATTTCAAAGCCCATTAAATAAATAGTAATATTTTTGTAAGCCTGTTCTTATAATGGGCTTAATAGAAAATTTGTTTTTTATAATGTTTTTTTTTCCGTGCATACTTGTCAAATGTCAACGAATACCAACAAGCTTCTACAGCTTCCACGTGGTTCCGTTGTTGGAGAGCCACGTGTAAAACTCCACTTGGTAAACATATTTTATCACTATGGCAATAATTTAGTACGAAAAGGCATCGAATTGCATCACTCACGGATTTATTCACAATGGTTGTCGCTACGTACAGTAATATTTCGCCTTTTACACAGTTGCTTCCATTCGTATAGCCAAATCATCTCCATCCATCAAAATGAAAGAAAATAAAAAAGAGTTATTAATTAATAACTTCTGTATATTATACAGCCAAAAGTTAGTTTAAAAGAAATTGTATAATTAAGCAAACAAAATGTTATAGTGATTAGAAACGGCGATCATAGTGTTTTTAATTTTTGATATGATCTAATCGTACAATAAAACCAATCTAATTTAGTTTGTTTTACAATGTTACTATATTTCTTCCCAGACTTTTATTATTGTTTTGTTTTTATTTTTATAGAGGAAGTTCAAGTAATCTTTCTCTAATCAAGGACGTATATATGATCCATCACAATCGATGCCCCTCCCAGTTTTTTTTTTGTTTTTTTTTTTTGTTTATCATTGTTAGATCCATGATATGAATATATTAAACGTAGGAAAATTAGCATCAATGACCATAAAAATGATGTAACCAAACAAATGAAGATCATTTATTTAAATAGTTCATTGACAATTTTATTTTGAAATATTACTCAGTCAGTTATTAATTTACATTTAGTTTATAGTTAGTTGCATGTATTTATTCTATCAATCAGTTTGTCAAAATCTATATTTAGTCTGACATTAGTCTATTATTAATCTATATGTAAAAGTAGTTAGAATGATAGTGCTGATATTTATAAAATATTTCTTAAAAAGATCATTTTTACAAAATATTCATTTCACATTGTTTCTTTATTATGGGTTATTTTATAATATTTTTTTAACAAATATAGGATAAAAATATTCTATATAATATCTCTTATATATTTTTTTAAAAACCAAAACCACGAAAAAGTCTTATAATATCATTTACAAATTACAGTCCCATATAATATTTTATCAAATATAACCTTTTTAGTTTGTATATCATTATCGACCCACTGATATGAAACAATTTAAGTCGGTAACTCGGTGACTTGTTCTTTCAGTTCTAATCTAAAAATACTCCAATTGGCATTAACTATCTCCCAATAGCACACGAACCGGACACGATTTGATTTGTTCTCAAGAGAAAAGAAATAAAAAAAACTTCATATATGAAAAGAGAAATGTTATAACTCTTTCTCTCTGAAAAGGCTTAACTTTTGAACGAAGCAATCACGAGAAACCTTTGAAAATCTCTCACTTTGGATCCGTTCCTTATTCACTTCTTTAACTTCCAAAACTCAACTTGTATCCAAAACTTTCCTGGTGCTTTTCCGTCTTCTCGTGTGTCCTTTTTCCCGGAAAATTTCCTCCTTCCTTTGTTAATTTTCACCGGAAAGTTTCTTTGTTCTACTAAGGAAGAAAGATGAAACCCATTTGTTTCCTTCTCTGTTTCTGTTTCCTTCCTGTAAAAGTCTCTTCCTTTTGACATATTCTTGGTTTTCAACTTATTAACAAAACCTCTGTTTGAAAATTTCTTTTCCCTGATTCTGTTTTGTTTTCTTGAGGGAAATTAATGAAACCGCGGCTATCGAACCCATGTTTTTGAATCAGTTCATGCACTTCCTGAAATCTATTCACACTTTCAGAAGGAAAACCGCAGTTTAACAGAAACAAAACAAAGCCCTAGATCCTCTGTTTTTCAACCCCTACCTTGTGATCCAAGCATAAAGTCTCTTCTGATTCAACATGTCTAGTTCATGTTTCAACCCGTTTCGTCTCCGGTGGTCTCTGAGATCCAAATTTCCTCCGGAGCCTGACTTCCCGGCCTTATCCGCTCTCCCGTCTACCTCCAAAACCAACCGGTATGCTGAAAATGAGACGATGGAGAAGAAAAGATTCGACAGTATGGAATCTTGGTCGATGATCCTAGAGTCCGAGAACGTGGAGACATGGGAAGCTTCCAAAGGCGAAAGAGAAGAATGGACCGCAGATCTTTCGCAGCTCTTCATCGGGAACAAGTTTGCTTCCGGAGCTCACAGCAGAATTTACAGAGGGATCTACAAACAGAGAGCCGTCGCCGTGAAGATGGTGAGGATCCCAACACACAAGGAAGAGACAAGGGCTAAGCTCGAACAACAGTTTAGGTCCGAGGTTGCTCTGCTTTCTCGTCTCTTCCACCCTAACATCGTCCAGGTCTGAAATTCTCTATCTTCTTATCAAAGTTTAAACCTTTTTTCATTATCAAGAATTAGAATCTTGGTGGGCGAGAGAAAAAAACAGAACAAAGATCTTGTCTTTAGAACGTATGAGGTCTAGTTTTGGATTATGAGGTCTGGTTTTGGTTTCAAATGCTAATTATATCCTTAATTTGATATATATAGTTCATTGCGGCGTGCAAGAAACCGCCGGTATACTGCATAATAACAGAGTACATGTCGCAAGGTAATCTCCGAATGTACCTCAACAAGAAAGAGCCTTACTCGCTCTCGATCGAGACTGTGCTAAGGTTGGCTCTAGACATCTCAAGAGGAATGGAGTATCTTCACTCGCAGGGTGTTATCCACAGAGACCTAAAGTCTAACAATTTGCTATTGAATGATGAAATGAGAGTGAAAGTTGCAGACTTTGGGACTTCTTGTCTCGAGACGCAATGCAGAGAGGCCAAGGGTAATATGGGAACTTATCGATGGATGGCTCCTGAGATGATCAAGGAGAAGCCTTACACTAGGAAAGTCGATGTTTATAGCTTCGGCATCGTTCTATGGGAACTCACCACTGCATTGCTTCCGTTCCAAGGCATGACCCCTGTGCAAGCCGCGTTTGCAGTCGCTGAAAAGGTGAAGTAGCGTTTGTCATTTGCATTGAGATTGTATGCTATATTGTTTCTTGGTATAACAAGTAGTTACCTGGGACGCAAGTCATTGAAACATTTCTTTTTTAAAAATGAGCAGAACGAGAGACCGCCATTGCCGGCGAGCTGTCAGCCGGCGCTAGCTCACCTGATCAAGAGATGTTGGTCGGAAAACCCGTCGAAGCGGCCGGATTTCTCAAACATAGTGGCGGTGCTAGAGAAGTACGACGAGTGTGTCAAAGAAGGGTTGCCTTTGACGTCACACGCAAGCCTCACGAAGACAAAGAACGCGATTCTTGATCGCCTTAAAGGCTGCGTCTCGTCCCTCAGCTCACCATCTTCTTCTTCGTCCTCTGTACCTGTAAATGCCTAGTAGTTAAAAGATGTTTAAATACCATAATCCTCTTTCTCATTCTTAAGGTCACTATTCTTTTTTATATTCCCACAAGCTATTTGATTGTATTTTGCATCTACGAGATGTTATTATTTGATGACATCCACTTATTTAGGCTAATTAATTTGTATGAAATAGAATGTGTTTAGTTATTATCATGATACTTGTTGAACATTAGTCTCTCATTGTAAAGGAAGTGAGCTGAAAAAGAGTACGTAAGTGACTAATTATCCAAATGTGTTTAAAATAGATGCCTCAATAATTCGATTACTTGAATAAATAACTTAGCCCATGAATACAACCAGGATCCAGAATCAATATAATCAATATTCGTATGGGGTATAAATAAAATTATATTTTAAAATACATATATAATATTTATTCCTAAAGTAGTTTTAAAAATATTTTGTAAACCTAATTCAAATCATATAATTACTAAAATGTATTATTAACTTAATTATAATATATATGTATCATGTATTATACATATTCATGTTAATGATAAAACAACAACAACAATGTATAAAAGAAATAAAATATAAAATGAAATTATCAAGAAAACTAAAAAAAATATGAGATAAATAAGAAAAATATGATAAATAAAAAATTAATAACAAAGGTTTGATAGTTAATTAGAGAGAGAGGTAATGCAATCAATCAAAAGAAGAATAAAAACATAGAAGAAGAGAAAAATAAAATATGAGATAAATAAGAGAAAATGTGACAAATAAAAAATTAATAACAAAAGTTTGATAGTTATCTAGAAAAAGAGTGAGAATTGAATTCTGCACATAAGAAATTTGAAAACACATCAATAACAAACTATCCAAACCATTGAATACTTATGATACTAATGATACTAAATATAAAACTTTATAAATTAGTGTGGAGCACGTGCCATAATTTTTACAATATAGATCTGCCCTGAATACAACTCCACTTAAACCATATGAATTTAACCGAGAATAAACTTATTACTACCCAAATGAAACTGAACAACTAGCACAAAAGAAAACTCATGCATGCTTGAGAGAAGTAAAATTTATGGCCCATATAGTCTCCATACTTCTTTTAAATCCTAAGACTCATGAAATAGCTAGTTTATTAAATCCAAATATGATTCTCGATGGTAACGTTCTGCCAAAAAGCTGAGTACTCCTCTTCTTTTCTCCAACTTTATTTAAAAAAAACTGTAGGTTCCTTTTTGGCTTTTTACTTTACCTCCTTGGTGACTAAGGAACTAAAACTCGAAGGAGTTTTGTTTCATTCTTTCCTTCTCCATACCATTCAAATTCATTTCCTCCATCCTCAACACAATCAAGACCCATCAAAATCCTTTCAAAGAAACATAGACTGCTAAAAAAATCTTATCATTGAGTAACATTTGACCAAAAGCAAGATCTTCCCTAAACCATCAGAACCAGATCTGAGTCCTCGATCGTCTCCAATTCTCGACCAATCCAACCTGAGATCTCTCCAAATAAAATATTTTAGTTTCTTCGTGTCTTTGCAACATAACGTATCACAAACATAGATTGTAGAAAGAAAGAAAGAAAAGAACCAATGGAAAATACAAAGTTGGTTTGTAGAGTATTGTTGCAAGACTGGATAACATTCAAAGCATTGGCTTTGGAGGATAGAAGCAGGTAATTATTTCCTCTTTCCGCTCCATTTGTTAAATATATTTAGATTTTAATTCTCAAATGTTTAGAGTTTAGCTTGTAATTTGTTATATTTTGCTTGACCAGGATAATGAACGAGATAGCTGAAGATAAATATGCTCGTCTCTTGAGCCAACTTATCAATACTTGCGTTACTAGACCTCAAATCATAAAGGTGCATTATTGCCTTGTTGGGATTAAAATCCCATAAAGCAATCTGTAGTTACTGACTATTCATAGATTGGCTGATTAGGAAATTAGATTGAATCGCAGTTGCCTATTGGAATAATCTGCTCCTATTTCTCAGTGGCACTGAAATCGATTTATCCTCATTAGTTTGAATATGAAGACTATATATATAGATCACATGTGACAAAACTAAGGTGATGAATGTTTGATTAGTTTTTAGTTTTTGGTTTTTGGTTTTTGATTTTTGGTTTCTGTTTTTAGTTTTTAGTTTTTGGTTTTTGGATTTTGCTGTAGATTTTGGTTTTTCTAAAAACTTGAATGGTGATTTATTTAGTTTTTAGTTTTTAAGTACATTTTAGTTTTAATCTATATTTACTAAAAAAATATTTAAGGTAATTATTGGTAAAATAATATTAATTAAATTAATACTAAAAGTTTATGAGTAATTCATTAAAAATCAGAAAATGCATTTAATTTTATTTGTTCAAAAATAAAATTTGTTTCATAAATGCAGTTGAAAAGAAAAACAATATCTATGGTACCTAGTATTAGGGAAATCCTAAAGAATGGAAATTTTGGTTTATGCATCAGATATTTTTGCATTTAATTTCTTAATTAATGATAAAAAATAAATAACAAAATAGAAAACTACTTCACAGGAAACAAAACTCTGAAATTGCAGTTTTTGGTTTTTGTTCACAAACTCACAAAATTTGTAAAAACTAGTTTCCCTATAATTTAAGAAATCTATTTATACAAAAACCTGAATGGTTAAAAAAGTAGTTTTTGAAAAACAGAAACCAAAAACCATTTCAAAAACTAAAATATTCATTTTCATTTTTCGTATGATTTACTATCTTTATGTTAATAATGTTATAATATTGAAATTCCGTTTTACATATGTTAACTTTGATGATTTTAATGTAATTAAGCTCAAATTATATAGTTTTTATATGAATTAATAGTTGTCAAGCATTGGAACTCTCTCCATCTTTTATATTGAAAGATCTTATTTATACCATTACCATATACTATTATTTAAATGCATTTCTTTTGTATATATATATAGTGAATCTGGTTTAGTCGTTCGGTTATGTTGCAGCAAATTCAAGTTAGGTTCGAGTTCAGTTTGGTAATTTGGTATAATAAAATCGTTACCATTGGGATTAATTAATATCAAATTTTGTCTCTGTTTGGTAAAATTTTGGTTTGATTTTGAATTTGATGGCCATTCCTAAGTTTCATGGTTTTCTATGATTTGTTATGAACAAGGTGTTAGTTTTATGTCTTATAAGATTTGATCAAACTCACCAAATGAGGATATAGATATTCTCTTACTCCCATTTTTCCTATAATTTTTCGAGAATGCAACAAACTTAGGAAGCTTTGGTTATGGTGCATTTAAAGCCGTGCCTATATGCATTTAAAAGAAACTTTGGTTTATGGCAGCAAATTATTATTCAAAACATAGGACAGTAATTTTTCTAAAAAGTTTAATAATCTATTTCATTGTTAGTTATATTGTACTAATCTCAAATGTATTTATACATATATGAGTTTACAAATGAGAAACCAACAACAATAAGTCAAATTTTATTAGAGAAAATGATCCAAAAAATTAAAGAATTAAAGCAAGAAAACAAATAAAACATATAATTTCTTTCTTTCCATCTTTCTACTGATCTAACATTAAATATAGTATTACAATTTTTTTCTATATTTCTATAACAATTTATTTTCCAGCACTCTAACAATTAGATATAATCAAGATTTTTTTTTTTTTTTACTTTTTTGATTATTTGATTATTTTTAAAATAGTTTTCATCCATAATTGGTAAAATAAATTAAAATTTTGGAGAAAAAAAAGTTTTAGAACTACAATTTAATTTATTTTGTTTTATTTTATTATCTTTACTATGTAACAATTATATTTATTATTATAAAAAATATAAATAAGAACATTTTAAAAAAAATATGTTTATGGTATCGAATGAGGTTAGCACGGCTCTGGGTGCATTTGTTCTCTATTTCAATATGGCTGATGTGCATCATGTTCTTTCAATTGTAGGAAGTTGCAACCCTTATTTTTGATAAAGCTATACTTGAGCCGACCTTTTGCCCTATGTACGCTAAATTATGCTCTGATATTCAACACAAGCTACCTACATTTCTACCTAGAGAGCGTGGGGCTGGTAAGATCACTGAAAATACCCCATTCAAGGGGATTTTGCTGAATCTATGTCAACAGTTGTTCGAGGAACATGAAGAGCGCTCAAGTCAAGAGCTTAGAAAGATGAATGGACCATATCATAAGGGAGAGCCTAAGGAGATGGAGAGAATGTCGAACCTCAGGGCTATAGGAAACCTTCGTTTGATTGGCGAGCTTCTAAAGCAGCATATGGTTACAGTTAGGATCGGTCACCACATTGTTCAGGTAAAGTAAAGCTTATAATGAAGCTTACACATTTTTATTATCAGCTTTTGCGTTTGTGTGTTTGTTATTAACTTTTTAGTATGCAGAAGCTCTTGGGGGATGAGGAGAAAATGTGTCCATCAGAGGAAAATGTTGAAGCTGTTTGTCTCTTTCTCAAAACTGTCGGCAAAGAACTTGATGGATCATCAAGCTTGAGTTCAAAAAAGGTGAACGATAAATATTACAGACGTCTAAAGGAATTGTCAAATAATTCTCAGCTGGTTATGCGATTGAGATTTATGATTCGGAATATCATCAATCTGCGCTCTAATGGCTGGATTTCCAGGCCAGAAGTGGTATTCTTCTACACTTCATTAATTACTAATGCCTATGCCTTATGGTTACGAATATACAAAAAAAAAAACTACTTAAATATTTTCTGTCCTTATAGTTATGAAAAGAATAATAACTAAGTAGTATATTTTTGTTTTTTTGGTAAATTACAGACAAACCCCGCAGTTTATTGAAGCCCTTGAAAACCAAGATGTTCACGGTTCACATGTGGTGTGTGAACACTGAACAGAGTAATTTGCTATATCTCGGATATTGTTCTTGTTGTGTTTTGTTTTTATTTTCTGTTTCTGACTTTATTTCCTTTGTGTGTTAGAGTTGGCTGTTATGAAAATGCTTTTTTTTTGTTCAACATGAAAATGCTAATCACTATATTATATATATATACATATATACAATAAAACCTCTATAAATTTAATTATTTTAATTATTATTTGAGAAGTAGGTTTAATGAAAGAATCATAGGTATCATCATCTTAGCAAAAGTTAGTGTAAAAGAATGTCAGCCTGGAAATGTGACATGACAAATTTTCTCAAATAAATAAAATGTTTTGATTGATTAAGTTAAAACTAAATAAATTTTATTTCTAAATAAAAGAAAGTTTATATCATATGTGAATAAATTCTCATTATATAGCAATAATTTAAAATTATAAATGAAACAAAAAAATAAACAGATAGAAAAAAACAAATTATAAGTATCCTCTTAGTTAACTTTATTTTATTATAATATTGTATATATGAATAAAAATAATATTAAAAGTAAAAATGAATCTTTATGACTTTGATTTTATGTAAAAATCTCAGGCTATATTTTTGGTTTAAAACATTTCCAATCCACTTTTATTTTAAATTTTATAATTTAGAAGAAAAAAAGATTGTTACTTATTTCTCCAATTAAAGAGGAAAAAATAACAATCTTTTTTTTCCTGTAAAATAGGAATAATTTGGAGAGAAGTCCACTTATATTTTTGAAGAAAAAAATTGAAAAATATATTGGAAATGATCTTAATGTTTAATATATTATTAAAGGTTAAGAAAAAAATGTATGAGTCAAAAGAAGACAAAAAAATAAATAAGAATAATTTTGATCAATTTTATATTTTATTAGAAATATTTCAAAATATTATCTTACACATATTAATTCTTTCATGCATATTTTTTTCCAACATATTAAAAAATTATTTCATGAATCAAGTTTTGTATATGTTGTGATCCATTATTTATTATATTAACAAATATATTAAAGTTAGGAACAGATCAAATCTTACTTTTTAATATAATAATCAAATATTAAATAGATTTTGTTACACAGTTTATGGAAGTGAACAATTGCGGATTATAAAAAATTTGACGAAGAGATGTGCGGAAAGCTACCATAGAATTTTATAAACTATGATTTAACAAATTTTATAATAAATGTATGTTATATTTTTATTGATAACCATATATCATAAAACGCTGCAAAATATTTTTTTTTATTAAATATAAAACGATAGAAACAGTTTTCGTGATTGTTTTTAAACGTCAATAATTGCATCGTGTAAAAATATAATGTTAGCGGAAAATATCAGAATAACTTATGTTCTTGTTGAATTTGATGATTCACACTTGAATGGTTTTTTCAGATTTAGCTTCTTTACCTTAAAGGTGATAATTTTTCGAGGGCATTTATTTGATAAATTGGTAAACTCTGTTAAAGTTTCAATAGTGTAAAATCTTGATTTTTGAAACAGAGAGATTCACTTGATTTGATGTAAAACACATTAAAATTCTTAGAACACTTTTATAATTATATTATCTTCCATAAACACCTTAACTTAAACCACTATTGCGAAGAAACTAGAGACTTCCGGTTAACTTAAACCTTACCTTCCGGTGAAGAAGAGACTTCCGAATAACTTAAACCTTACTATTGCGAAGAAAAACCATTTGTGAATGCAAATGTTGTTGTTCAAAAAAAGAAAAAGAAAAGAGAATGCAAATCTTGTTTTCGGTTTTAGGGTTGGCTGGGAGTTGAAAACTGTTTGAAAAATGACGTTTAGAGACTAATTTCCTTTGTGTGTTTATTTTAAATGTTCTATAATCAACTTTTGCCTTTGTGTGTTTATTTTAACGTTTTTAATACAGAAGCTTCTGTGGGATGATGAGAAAATATGTGCATCAGAGGAAAATGTCGAAGTTGTTTGCATCTTTCTCAAAACTATCGGCAAAGAACTTGATGAATCAAGCATGATTTCAAAACAGTCCAACGATTTGCATTTCAGACGTTTAAAGAATCTGTCAAACCATCCTCAGATGCGAGTGAGATGTATGATTCAGAATATCATTGATTTGCGCTCCAACCGGTGGGTTTCCGCGCCGGAAGTGGTTCTCGTATACGATTTATCGAAGAAAAACTAACTGAAAATGTCGCCCTCGTGGTTTTGAGGTTTCACTTCAATAAAGCTTTGTGTCTTTTACATTTTAAACTCATTATCTAAGAGACTAAAATTGAAATTGAAAACTAAGCATTACATAATATACATTTTTGGTTTCAAACTCCTGTTTTGGGGCCTTAATCTTGATATCTCGACCCTTAATTCACTAGAATCTCTTCCTTACATCGATCAAACTCAACCGAAGAAAGCGCAAACAAACTCTTGTTCCTCACGTCGTGTATGATCCTCATCAACCCTTGCACTTGTGTCCCCTCGTGTTTCTCATTCAGTCAAAACAGAGCTCGAGCTCAGTCTGAAAACAGGCAATTGATTTTATTAAGCATGCATGTGACGTCCTTGTGCTTGTTTGAGACAAATGGGATTCGAGCACTTTGGGATTTAGTTTCCACCTTAGAATCTTCTCGTGCCTAGTGTTCACACGAGTTTCACGTTCAAACACAGACAAATCCACAATGGTATATATGTATATTAATATCTTGTAAACGCATTTACACTCGACGATCTTGTTCAAAGTAAGATTTATGAAATCTCTTTAGCAGTTTGGAATCTTTGGATAAATTTCGAAATTACTTTCTGTTAACGTGACCAATTTATTGGTAGGACTCATAGACGTGTGCATCTTCAAAACATTGATGTCACCACCAACTCTCTTATGAAATGAACATGAGTGTATATTAATATCGTTTTCACATTTTTAAATTTTCTATTTTAAGTTTTAATAGTACTACTTTTTGTCGAAAAGTTTTAATCCTACTTCTATTATTATATGGGTATTTTGTTGGTAAACTTGTGAACGAATAGAGACCTAACTAAAACTATAATCTTAAGTGTCCTAAAGAAAACCAAAATTCCATGTTATGTTTTTATTAATTTTTTTTAACTCTTTGTAAAATATACTATCATTGATATAAAAAAAAAAAAAACACACCATGAGTCATTTTGGGTAAGAAAAAAAGGTTTTGAAGGTTGACTGGCGAAAAAACAATAACCAAAAAACAAAACCCTATTGGACCAATTGTGGTCGATATATAGAAAAATAAAATGTGAGCAAACTTGTAAAACAAGCCACAAAGTGTATTCACAAGTCACAACACTTTGTTTCCTTTTTACTTATGTTACTTATGTAGAATCCATTTAAGACATTAATTTGAATATGATGATCAGATATTTCTATCATGCATTAATATGCCTTAAGTGGGTTAAGTTCTTTTTTTCTTTCTAAAACAGACGCTAAAAAGTTAAGTTCTTAACGATATATAAGAACGAGATCTCGCTACGTAAGCACAACCTGTATCAGCTCAAACTCCCTTTGTTAATGATTTATCATAAATTAGATTATGCGAAACTGGACTGATTGTGAAGTGATGATGATAACAATAGATACCTACCAAAGGAAGTTTTCTTAATTGAGGGAGAAGATAGTCTAAATATCTTTAGTAACAAGCACATAAGTTTTAACTAATCTTACCTAATCTTATATTTTATACATTGTTTGGTTTGATGTTAAGTTATACAGTATATATATCTTATTGTTTAGTACTTTTGAAGTGAAGGCTCAAGCAATCATAGTCCCATTTTTCAACACTCTTAGGCTTAGAGTAGATATCATCTCTATTCTCTAGTTGATGGTAGCTCGTATGATATTTAACTTTGTCAGCCCACATAATTTTTAGCAATTCTTAGAGATTCGTTGGTGATAAATTATTTTGAATGTTAAAATTATCAAGAATGTCGTTATTACACACGTATAAATCATTTACAGCTTAAATCTTTTCTAAAGAAAATCAACCTTGGAGGATTTTTAAAAATTGACAATAAACATTTGATTTGTACACCAAAAATCAAATGGTTGTGTTCGAAGAATCTTAACAGAAGTTTTCAAAGTATTTGAGGGGCAAAAGTATAATCTTTCAACATGCTTTTTAAATAAATAAAGAAAACTCCCAAAATGCTCGTGATGACCTCAAAAAATTGACGGAGTCAAAGACAACGCATTGACTTTTGTAGTACAAAATAGAAACCAAGAAAGCCTATCAAACACGTCTCATGCCGTGACAACATCTCTAAGTTGTAACATTACACTAAACATTATGATTCCGTATAGTGTTACTAGCAATGCATTTAGTGTATATATTAGAATTCCCTTCAATGGTGCAATGGTAGAATGATCATACTTTTGTGAACATATCCATTACTCCGAATCCAAACATGTAATATATATGGTTCTGTCCTAAGGGTCACTCGATTCACTAACTTCTAAATTTTATCTTTGGTGTTTTTCCAAATCGAATTAACGACACTTCAAAATATTATTTCGCTTACTATACTATATGAATCATCACTATGTCGAGGAATGTAATTGTGAGGTAAAGACGTAAAGTGTTACATTTTTGTCCAAAAGAAAAGAGGTAAAGTGTTACACCCAGACAAGAGCCAATAAGCCATATTTGTCTCTTCTTTATGTATTTTATTCGCCAAACCCAATGTTGGAATATGCCCATTTTTAAAATTAAAGTACCAATTCATTGTATTTGTTTATCTACTTTATATATTTTTGTAAAGTATTAGACCGAATCTCTATGCACCGTCTATAATCTATGCTATGTGATCAACAATCTTGAAGACATCCATCAAAACATTCAAAAATGCGATTGAAGAGGTGATTAGTAGTTTTAAACTTAACTAACAATTCAAAAAAAAAACCATTTCTGAATATTTTCGGCTGTTGGAATGGAATATGGATATAATATCTAGTTATATGAGCTTCTAATAGGAATTAAGAACAATAACTTTTAGCAAAACTAATTAGGAATAAGTGAATTGTTCCATATTTTCTATATTAGTTAAAATTCTTTCCAATTTTTGATATAAGATATTATTCCACATATGATAGCTATTTTGGCCATTAATTTTAATATATTTAAATGTTTGAGCTTGAATTGACGGTATCAATTTCAGGCTTAGTCGATAATTCGATCAATTTTGGGTCAGATTGAGTTATATTGTATAAACCGGGTTTTGATACCATATTAGGTTACATCGACTTTCAACTTCAAACCAATTGACAATGACAAAAATTAGCACTATATATTAGTTAGAATCTTTTCCTAATTTCCGATGTGAGATAATATTTTTAATATAATATATATTTTTATTATTATTTGATTCATAAAACCCCCTAAACTATTTGTTCTACGATACCTGATTCAGTATATATGAATCGTACAGATCAAAACTACTTTACATACATGGTCTTACTCTTACATACATAATACTTTGCATATATGATAAAAGAAAATACTTATATATCCGATATAAAATTCCAAATAGTCAGGAGAATTATTTAACGTAGTTGTACCAATTCATGTTCATGGGAAGCATATAAGTGCTTGTTGGTGGTGGTGGGCGGCACACCAGATCTTTTGGACCTGCGTTAACTATTCTTGTGTGTAGTTTAATGTATCCATAATTCATATGCTTTATATTAATTAATGTCTTCGGTTGTTTATTAATGAAGGGAATATGTATCATAGTTGTTTAGATTAGTGCTGCCATCTTATTTCAATTTCGGTAGCTTGCATGTATAAAAATGATGGCTTTAAACGAATTTTTGCAATATGGTTTACAACATTTTTTATAATTGTTATAGATTTGATATTTGTCCGATTGGTAACACATTTTTTTATGATGGCTGTGAAGTGTGAACGTAGATTGGCTTCAAATTTGATACTAGTATATTTGTGCAAATTCTTCATTTCATAATTTACCTTTCGAAATCGGAAGATTAATGTACTTAAAAGTGTCGTTTGTTGGATTATTCATTTTATCATATCAAGGAATCTTAGAGTTCCCATGTCTCTAATCTCGAAGGTATTACAAGTAATAAGTGTACTACTCTATGTGCTTTAACAAGTAAACTCATCTTTAATTATGTCTGCAAACACACAAAATTATGGTAACTCATAAAATGATGGAATGGGAAAATTAGTCCCTGATTTTGGAAGTTCCTAGTTCCTACCAATCGCAAAAGTGAAAATATTATTTTCTCCTTTTTTTTGATAAATGCTTTTCTATTAAATTATTTCCTCTTTTAATATAATTTAATTGATTTTTTTAAAGTCATTATTTACGATTGCGTAAGATTTAGAGCCAACCAAAAAACAGAAAGTGTAAGTAGGCATACTCTAAAGAGAGTAATTATTTCCTGTATGACACACACATTTCATATTGTTTTTAGTCGTCATCCCACACACTTTTCATTATATAATACAGTGACTTAAACTTGAAAATTACAGGATAATTAAACATCTATATATTACAAAAAAAACCTTTTAAAAGAAATTTAAAAGGAAAAAATAAAAGGAAATGAAGAAAGAAAAAGGAGAAAAATAAAATTTCTTGAAAAAAAAGGTGAGCTAGAAAGTAAAATTTACAAAAATAAACCATACTTTATTATTTGTCCTTGTAATTTCCTCGCCATTTTTTCCAGCAAAATGTTTGGAAATTTCTTATCCCCAAACCCCAAAAAACTTCTGACCAACAAAACTCATAATTTTTTCAACTGATCCTTTCTCCTTCTCCGCTTCACCACCACCACAATTCCCTTTATCCACCGAGTCACCCGCCAACTCGTCTGAACTCGACCCCAACTCACTGAGTCGACTCGGTACGACCGAGTTAACTCGAACGGAAGATTTTCCCGACCGTTTTTTCCGATCCTTTTTCTTCTTCTTCATCTCCAAGCTGTCTTCGAAAGCGTCGATGATCTCGTGAATGAGTTGGCGATTCGGCGACGAGTCCCATCGAACCCAGTAACTCGTGTAGCAGCTGAAGCAATCGCAGAGAAAAAGAGGAGAGTGATGATCATCTTCGTTGGCTTTGTTTTTCTTCAGACGAGAGATACGATTTGGGTCACCGGAATTCGAGATGAGGTAAGCAAGAACTTCACGGTCCTCCACCGAGAGCGCCGCCACGAGAGAGAGGATAGCTACGGGGAGGAGAGAGAGAAAGTGGTCGTCAGGTTTAGTCGCCGGCGACGGATGAACGGTTCCTTTCCGACCCAACTTCTTCATTAGAGAGAGAGAGAGAGAGAGAGAGAGAGAGAGTTTATTGAATAATGAGTCTTATGAGACTTTGAATTTTGAAAGGCTTTTCTATATTTTTGACCTGGAATTTTGAAATTGAAAGGTCTGAGAAGTCCAATATGTTTCTGTTTACTTATTTTAATACTACTATGATTTTAAAAAAAAATTATTAAACAATATGGCATTGAAGGAAATAAAAACCAGTCTGCATAATGGATTATATAATTATATCATTTGTCTAGTAACAAAATTCCACATGTAAATCAGATCTCAAAATTACAAGATGTTGATATGTCACTGCACTATGATAACACGTATTTACTTTCATCAATGTTAGTAAAGTGACATACAGTGTTTGTATCAGTAGATATACACTTTTATCAAAATACCTGGAAGGGAAAAAGTATTAAATGTTGAGGTTCTAACAGATGTTTATCTTAATTATGGTTATTGTTTTTAATTATGGTTATTGGTCCAAAAAAAAAAATAATAATTCAAAAGCATCATACTGGATCATTTTCACAAAATTGATCATTTTCAATTATCTATGTACGCACAACATAAAATTTTCGGAAGCGATATTGTAAATTATACGTTAATGGTTGGTTTGGTTTCTCCGTTTTTATAATATTATTGTTTCACAATTAAAGACTTTGAATGAAAGTGCAGAATAGATGCAGGACAAATGTAGATTAGGAAAAAGCAGATCAATTTACATTTTATTTGTCATTCATTAATTTAAATGCAGAACTAAAAAATAATAATAAATTATTAATAATCTGCATGCAGATTAGATTTCTTTATTAAATTAATGATCTACAATTCTACATAGGAAGGAAAGAAAAATAGTAGAACACGTGCTGAGGACCAATCACATGGCTTTATTTTTTACTTTTTATTTATTTTTCTCTTTCTTAATTGTGTATAAATATTTTTTTACTTTTATAATTTATTTTATTCAATTTTATACAATACACAAATTTACAAATTCTCTAAAATTTAAAGTATGATTTAAATTTATTTTGCGTTTTCTTTATGATAAATTTTGTTTTATAATATTTTTTCATAAAATCAGTTATTTACTATATATTTTATTTATTATTTTCTATATATATATATCAATAAATATAACAATGTTCTATCTAAAATATTATATAGAGACATTGAGGCTGTAGACAAAAAAAATACTATATAGATATTTATTTTAATAAAATTTGTTTGCAATAACTAATTATGCATATTGATTTTTTGGATCATTTATAAATATATATTTTCATTAGAAAACGTATAATATTTAGAACAATTAAAAAATTATGTTATAGTTTATTTTTATTTTATTGTTGATAATAATTAGCTTATAAATAAATAATTAATATTTTCTTACAAAATTACTTTTATTTTATAATATAGATTCATATAAATTAGTATAATTAATTCTTGTTTGTTATTTGATTTATATTATGAATTATATTTTAATTATAAATATGTATATTATATTTTAAAATAGGAAAATGAGATATTATGGTAAATATAAGAAAATTAGTCTGTATTAACTTTTATTTTTAAATTTTCTTCAAATGTTGTAATTAATTTTTTTATAATGTTAAATATTCTTATAATTATAATTATTTTATTTACATTACAAATATATATAGACACATAAAATTATTTTGTATTAATTTTTATTTTGAAATTTATCTTTAAAGTTTAGTTTTTTTATCAATACATCAAAAACACCCATGTATCTCCTACTAATGACACCTCAGTTTTTTTAAGCTTTCCTAAGATGACACTTTAGCAAATCAATTCATCAATCAAAACATTTTATTAATACAATTCATCTACTTATTTTAACTTTTAAATTTAAATCCATTAAAAATCTAAATATTTTTTCTATATATCTTTGTTTTTTTTACCAAACTAAATCCCAATTAATAAACAACACTGAAAAAAAAATATTTTATTTTTTGTCAAACCTAAGTCCAAATGATAAATAACAGTAAATAAAAATTTTAAACCTTTATTTTATATTTTGTCAAACCCAAACTCAATTAATAAATAACAGCAAATAAACATATAAATATTTTCTAACTATCTGTTTGTTTGACATAAGCGTATATGATTGAAAAAAGTCTAGGCAAAGTTGGGGAATATTTAGTATATTTTTTAATTATCTTACTATATTGAAAAAATTCAAAAATATGTATTTGGTGTATTTTTCAATTTATTTTTCCTTTATCTATTTTCCAATTATTTTGTTGTTTCCCATCATGACAGAAAAATGCGATTTTCGGGTTAATAGAAAGTAAATTTCCTCGGTTTTGATGGAAAACAAAATTTTTCTGTTATGATGTAAAAACAAAATATTTCGGTTCTGACAGGAAATGCAAATTCGAAATTTTGACAATTTTCTGTTTTTGATGGATAATGCGATTTCTTGGATTCTGCAGAAGCAATTTGACGTCTTTGGCAGAAAAATGCAATTTTTCAGTTTTACTAGAAAAACATGATTTCTCGGTTTGAGTAGAAAAATTTTTCTTGGCTTTGGTGGTAATAGGAAATTTATTTGATTTGCCGAGAATATAAGATTTTTTGGTTTCAGTAAGAAAATGTAATTTTCAGATTTGGTAGAAAAACATAATTTATCGATTATGACCGAAAAAGCAGAATTCTCGGGTTTGGCGGGAAAATGTGAATTTTTGATTTTTGTGAGAAAAATTGATTTTGACGGGATAACAAAATATCTTAGTTTTGAGTAGAAAATACGATTTTTCGGTTTTGATAGAAAATGTAACTTTTCAATATTGACGAAAAATGTAATTTTCAGTTTTGATAGGAAATACAAATTTTTAGCTTTTGACGGATAAAGCGATTGCTTGGTTTTCGCATGAAATATGATTTTTTAGTTTTCACAGGAAATTGCAATTTGATGATTGTGGCGGAAAATATAATTTCTCGGTTTGATGAGAAAACAAAATTTCCCAGTTTTGGCAGGAATAAGCAATTTCTTGGTTTTGATGGAAAATGCAAATTTTCAGTTTTTGACGAATAATGTGATTTTTTAGTTTTTGCGGGATGCGATTTCTTAGTTTTTATGGAAAAATGCAATTTTTCAGGAGATAATATAATTTTTGGTTTTCGTAGGAAATAGTAGTTTATCTGTTTTGGTATGCGTGATTCTTGGTTTGACAGAAAATTGTAGTTCTAAAGCAAGATCAATTGTTTTGATATAAATGTTATTGATTATAGTTTATTAGTTTTAGAAACATATGTTTATAATAAATATTTGATAAATAAAGAAATTTTATAATTCAAAATAATCATATTAATTAATAAATTTTTTTTTGGCAGCTTTATATAAATATAAAGGAGGATCAAGTAGTAATTTATTGGAAAATAGATTATATTTACCCTTAGCATGAAGATACTTAAATATATACTACTTTATTCTTACATATACATTTATAGTTAGTTAGCTAAACAAATTTGATAGTAAATTATAATTTTGAAAAATAAAAAAATTAAAGATATACAATGTTTATTCAAATTTAAAACATATAAATACATAACTTAAACTAATAAAGAAAATATAATATTCATTTATATTATAAAAATAATTTTATAATATTAAAAATATATATAAAATTTAGAAAAATAACCTGCAGCGGATAAATACCTAGATTTCTTGTTTGACTTTTCGATTTTGATTTTATTCAACGTAATAGATGACAATAAACTATGACGTCACGTATTTGCTTGAGTATATGCTACCAACTTATAAGAAAAATATTCATTTAAGGCTCAAATTGGTTAATAGTGAGATATATTTGAGATTTATATTGAAATCAATGGAGTGTAAGACATTTCCCCAAAAGTAAGACACAAATAAATAATTGGTATTATATACTTGTTTGTTCGTTCATTGATTGATCCGTTGATCAAAATCTTTGCATAATTGATATGTACGATGTATTTGACAGCGTTACGCTACGACATATTTTTCTAGATTTTGTATATATATTTTAAATATAATAAAATTATTTTTATAATGTAAATGAATATTATATTTATTTTTATTAGCTTAAGTTATGTATTTATATGTTTTAAATCTGAATAAATATTGTGTATGCTTAATTTTTTATTTTTCAAAATTATAATCTACTATCAAATTTGTCTAGCTAACTATCTATAAATGTATATGTAAGAATAAAACAATACATTTTTAAGTATCTTCATTCTAATAGCAAATGTAATTTATGTTCTATACTAAATTGTCATTTGATCCTCTTTTGAAATTATATAAAGCAAATTGCCATTAAAAAAATTTATTAATCAATATAATTATTTTAAATTATAAAATTTATTTATTTATCAAATATTTATTATAAACATAAGTTTCTAAAACTATCAAACTATAATCAATAACATTCATATCAAAACCATTGTTATTGCTTTAGAACTAAAGAGAAAGTTCTGTTTAAACTGTTGAAATATCAGTTTAGTTAAAGTTAAATAATTCAATTTCGATTACTGTAAACATATTGTAACTTGAAAATTTAGTACAGAGAAATTTTATCTTTTTACAAAAACCGAGAAATTGCATTTTCCGACAAAACAAAAAAATTTCATTTTTCCACGAAACTAAGATATCGCTTATTCCTGCCAAAATAAAAAAAATCATTTTCTCGTCAAACCTGAAATTTAATTTTCCCACCAAAACAAATAAATTGCATTTTTTGCAAAAACCAAAAAATTACATTTTTCTGCGATAAGCTATTTTTTCCCGCCAAAACAGAGAAATCAAGTTTTTTCACCAAAACCAAAAAATTTCATCTTCGTGCAAAAATGAAAAAATCGTATTTTCCTCTAAAAACAAAAAAAATATTTACGTAAAAACCGGAAAAACGTCTATTCCCACCAAAACAAAAAAAAAAATTTCTTGTCAAACCAAGAATCACGCCTTCCGACCAAAACCGGTAAACTCCAAT